GCGCGCCGGATGGTCTCCTCGGCAGCAGCTGTCACCTGATCGCAAATGTGGTGCCACAGGTCGCCCACTGTGGCTATGCATTCCACATTACACAGGCGTGCAGCCATCGCCTTCTCCAGTTCCGTATGTTTCGCCACAGTACCGAGGGAGAGAATGTTAAATTTACGCCGATTCACGACTGGAGTGCAATATATCGATTTACGGAAATATATGTACAGTTTGGTCTGCACCAATTTGTTGTCAGTACCACACTCAGCTCCACGCAGTACACGTGTCATGCGCACTTCACTCATCTAACGCTGACGTACGATGACATAGTCGAGCAGGTGAGCGCGACCACTCCGTGGGTGCGTCCAAGTTGTTATATCACTCACAGTGCAAACCGAGTGTTCGTGATCGTCAGGCCGTGAGTGGCACGCAGCGAGAGCAGCCTGTCACCGTTCGCATTTGCTGAACCAATGCCATGCGGTCTGATAACATCTGTTCACAACAATGCATCACGCCCAATGCGCGCGTTGAAAACACCCAGCAGAAATAGTCGGTCGCTCCTCGACACTGACCGTTTCACGGAGGATAGCTGAGTGTAGAATTGATCACGCATGTCAACAAGATAACACATGGTCGGACAGACGTACTTGTAAGGGTCGCAAACTTACCTCTTCCGAGTCGTAGACGAACAGTCATCAGTCGCGCGCTGATGCCTGTTCTTTCACCCACCAGCTGGCCATTCAGGCGATCAGCTATTGCAAATCCGACCTCGTGGTCACTTGTTGCTGTGGTGGCGTTGCCCACCCAGTAGAATGTGTAGCCAACACTTGCTTCATGCAACTTACCTTGCTCAACGAGCCGGGTTTCACTGAGCGCCACAATATCGATGTGGCAGCGCGCCAGTTCCATTGCGACGAGTGCAGTACGTCGCTCCGGGCCCTCGCTGAAGTTCCGGTCCAGTAGTGTGCGCACGTTCTAGCACCTGATGCTGAGTGCTTTGCGCGCAGGCATACGATTGCATTGGTAGGCCATCGCACGCGAGGTGGTGGTTGTGCTTCGGACGTTTGCTTTAAGGACTCCACCCGGAGCCTTTGGCTCAATAACCTGACCCACAAGGCAGGGGTGAGCAGGTCCAGCTCGGAAATGTGACCGCATTGACAGGTTCGGATCTGCTTGACGGCCGTCACACGAGACCTTTGAGGTTCTGAGACGATTTATATATGTTTTGCGACCGTATTAGGATACGCACCTGCGACCACGGCCAAACGCAGGTGGGTTTTGGCGGGTTTTCACCAATTTGTCCAGAGACTGTCTGGCTTGAGGCGAGCAGTAGCAAACCATTGAACACCCGGAGGTGCGCTGCCACCGTCAGAGACAATGCGTGGCGCTCGTACTCTACGCCAATCGAGCTGTGAGCTTATAACCCGTAGACCTTTTGTCTCCCATGGCTAGGTTTTACTGGAAGGGGGCCATCGACCACTTCCTAACCTCCGAAGAGGATGGATTAGGATACTGGCAGGGCGCCCACACCCGACAGGAGAACGACTCAGGTCCTCAGCCGAAGCCTTCGATTAAATGAACACCCGAAAGGCAGTGGGTCTAGCACATGGTCAGTTCACTGTCTCATGCGGATTGGTGTCCTGGATCTTAACAGGGAGAAGGGCGAAACCAACTCCCACCCAGCAGTCGCCACGACTAGGCGCTCAGGGTAAAACGATAGCAGCAATGAGTAGACCATCTGTCAGGAGCTAGTCATAACCAGCCTAAGCGAACCATGGGCCCTCTCGCCGCTTATATATATATATATATATATATATATATATATATATATATATATATATATATATATATATATATATCAGTGGCAGAGTGCCACAACACATGATTAACAATTCCAAGCTGGAGGAAAGTAGAGAGTCAGAGGAATGTAAGCTATGTTCTGTGTGCTGTGTAGGCTGTAAGCTTCGCGGTTGCCAATGCCAACTAAGGGGGTTGACTTATGGGGCACCACTCCTAGCCTTTGGCCTTAAAGACCTGACACGCAAGTATGCGGGGCTTTTCACATTGACCCTTGACACCCAGATGGCTTATTCATCTTTATGTTCGGAAGCAGTCCACAGAGAAGGCTACCATTCTTACGCCCTTCGTTGGATACTCATTCCCAGTTACAGGAGTGAGTGGTCAGTGACCCTATAGCCGGTCCATCCGAATGAACCAATCTAGCGTATCTGTCTATCAGGTAACACATTTCGCCTGTTTTCCTCTTTCCATTATTGTTTTTGCTTTGTATTCTTATTTTTATACGTACTTATCGTAGTCACCATTGTGCTTGTTGATCTGAACTTCGGGATGCTGTGCCCTTTTTCGTTACTAATTTGCCAGCAGTCCATTGTTTCTTACCTGCAGAGTCCCTCCTTTGGTCCGTGGCTGTAAGTACTAGGCGCCTGCCTTGCAACTCGGGTGTTACGGGATTGAGTCTGCTTAGAGAACCGGGAGACCCTTGTAAAATCCCCAGCCCACGTACGACTGGTGGTAGTTACATGGCATAGAACCCTCGGTGCGGCGTACTTTTGATCATTTTTCTATAATTCTGTGGGTGAGAACCATGAAACTCTCCGGAGCTCTTTTTGATTCGTGCCGTTCAACTCACTTACCACTGCTCGGCTTCAGGTCTGTTCTGTTCTTGGTGTCTTTCAATCAACCACATTGTCGGCATACGGAAGGTGTGAAGGCGAACAATCATTGATGGAAGATGTATCTCCGGATGAGAAAGTCTGCAGATTGAACGTAGTGCAGCGGTAAGAAAGATCGTTACAGTCCAGGATATGATCAGTGACGAGCTGAAGTCGAGGAAAATTTAGTTGTAGTTAATGAACATAAGTGTCAACGAAGAAAATGAATTTGTTTAGAGGCAACCCTCCTAACACGTCCCTTTGGGATTGGATGTTCGTATGATTGCTTTCTGGAATCCAGCTACATAGGCACATGCTGCCGTCTGATTCGATCTGTCCATTTTATCGGTGTGTACTCGACTGTATGGACTGGCTCGCTAATGTCACTGGAGGCTTGTGCTTCGGCAAGAGCTCAAAATGTCAGTACGAAAAGCAGGGTAGTGAGGCGTTGTTTGGCAGGACGACGAACACAACTGGTTGGCATGGCGGACCCATAGTGAGGAGTGTACATCCACTTCATAGATAACCTGGTTCGTGCGGCGTACAATCAGACCCTGCGTCTACTTTTCGTCACCATCATAATAATCCATGATGAACACAGATTGACCAGCGTGAAAGTTGCGATTCACGGCACCTTGATGACGGTTGAAATTGTCCTCTTGCGGATGCTTCGACCAATCGGTTGATGTGAAACTGGACGAATAACATCAATGGGTAAGCGTAGCTTTCGGTTCATCATAGTTTTTGTGTATCCATTTGGTGTTAACATGTAACTCGGTAAGAGGGTTTCCATAAATTCCGGTTTAGTCGCATCTCGTTTGAGGTGATTTGTAATTTGCTGTGCTATCTGTGGAGTTGAGGCCAACTGCCTACTTTTGCATAGGACTGGAAACGGGACATCGATGAGTCCGAGTTTTCAATCCAATAATATTTAGATTGGTACAGTCGGTAACATAGCATAGTCTAGAGAACTGTATATTATTGAAAAACATCACATATTAGTTCTCCAGTCAACAATAAAGTACTAGCAGATGCATTCTGGGAATGATGCTTAGTGGTTGACAATGCGAGTTTATCGATTAACTCCAAGTTGAAACGTGACAGCAATGTATTGTCCGAAGCTATGTCAAGCTGAATGCGGACTGGGATATCATTGACGGGAACTGATAGATACTTTCTTCTAGATCGACTTTGAACGTTGCAAGCACAGAATTTGACTGAGGACATTTTCTGTATGGTTGCTTTTTGGGCACTTCTCTGGCTGAACTGTGGATGCTCTTTTGCACGGTTGGTTTCCTGACATTTATGAAACGACAAAAGCCTTATTTGTTGTCTGAGATTCCTTGAAAGCACAAAAGCGAGCCCAGTGCCATTTGCCACATGATCAACAAGGAGTTTGTGGCTTTTTATTGGGCTGGAGAATTATTCGTGTCAGTGCATAGACGCTGCTTGAAGCTGGTGCTCATGATTATTGCACCATGGCGGTATCGTACTTAAGACCGAGCAGATGTTGACATTCATTGGTGATAGATTTTGCAGTGATATCCTGTTGCTGTTCAAGTTTGGAAAGTAGTCTTTTGCGGACGTCCGATTCCTGGGGAGAATGAAGACCTGGAGCAAAAATCAACCTTCGGTGAGTATCTGCAATTGAAACTTTTTGCACTCACGATTTACGATGCCAGCATAAGGGACGTAATCGTCTGCACCATGCTTCGTTAACTTAAGACAGTTGTACCGGACGTTAAAAATCGAAAGTTGATCCCTGGAAATCTCGTGTAATTGTTCCACTGTCTGCACAAAATCAAGATCTTTAGACGCAGCCCTCTTAACAAAGTCTAAGTGAATAACACTTTTAACCCTCTGTGTAACAGAGGATATGTGAGGAAATGCAGGGAGCTGCGTTTTGGTGATGTACAATTATTTTACTCTAAAACCATTGGCTTTCTACTTGCTGGTCCACATTGCGTTCCGGGTTGCCACCGCGCCTTAATCTAATACTCCTGACTGTGCATCACACTTTGGTGCTACGGTCATTGGCCGTTTACCGGTAATTCCGCCTGTCTCACACCTTGCTTTCCGCGTATTTACAGATTCTGTACTGTTGCGCTTAGCAGCGTTGCATTACAGCCCTGAGAAGCCGTTTCATTCACCGCCAACATTCTTATATTTTGGCATCGGGTTGATCCCAAGTTTTTATTTACTCCAACATATCATTTGCTAGAACTAACTCTTCTTTTTTTGAACCTGTTCCGTTATTTTACTATCTCTCGTCATCCTGAAAAGAGACGTTATTGCATACTTTTTTTTCCAGCTGCAGCCACTCCTGTGAATAATGCGACCATGACATCTGAAAGCGTCCCTGTCACTCAGTCGTTCAACCCTGATTCTTATACTCGTGATGTACTGATCAGGGACCACTTGGTGCGCCTTAATTTTTGTCATAGTTGCGGATTTTTTCGCCCTCCGCGTTCTTCCCATTGCTCGACTTGCGATAACTGCGTCGGTGAGTCTTTTTACCACTTCTGTTTACTCGCAACTTTTTTTCATCCCAGCCTCTCTGTCTGCGTATATCCTCCAATAATTGGCTAGGTTTAAAGTACTCCAACTAGACCGGCACGACGCGTTCAACGCGTATTTCTGTTTTCTACGATAGGGGTCTGTTTCGTTATTCTGCGTGGTTTCCTCAAGTAACTACACACTGCTTCTGTTTCGCAGTCTGCGGACCTAAAACCACACTTATTTGTTTTAGTACTGATGGCATTATTCCTCATAATGATTTACCGGACAATTTCTGCGTGGTTTTTTAACTTTTCACTGGCATGAAACCGTTTTTTTCAGGCAGTAAACGAGTCGACCCATCGTTGGTAATTCTAGTATTCTCCTGGTACCGCCACAGATTACGCTATGTACTCTTCTTTTTTATTGTGGCCTCTTATCTGCTATTATTTGGTCGACGGTTGCAATGTTGACACCAAAGTACTCGTTTCGCTCTTCCCCTTTGTATCCTACTTTTGCCATTGGTAATCACTTATTTCCTCCTTTTTGCTCATTTTTATGATATTTGTTTTCCATCGCTCTAAGTATTCTCACTTGTGATCCCTCGTCTCATTCAAACCTCACGGCAAAGTAATTTTTAACCAACGACCATCTGTTATCGGTCCTTGCCGAACTACCTCGTGGTGCCAGCCGGGCGGTTCGGGTATTTCCCGTTCCGGCGAATGGTTCGGCGGCAGTGTTCCAGGACGTAGTGGGTTTACGTTTGGCTAGTGTTCTTTCTATAAAAAGTCACGAGTATATGCTTAACAACACTACGACGTGCCGGATGTGACTCGCCACTAAATAGAGTCATTGCCCCTTGTCTTCCTCGGAGATATTGTATACCGGCAAGCAATCCGAGCATCGGATTTTGCCTTTGACTTCGGAAGTGTTGGGCTCCCTGTATGGCTTTTTGCCATCCGAAAGACATGAACTGAAAGTTCAGTCACCGGCTCCTAATGTGTGCGAAACCCTTATGTTGCTCTCCCGTGTAGGTTAGAACCTTTGGCCAATGGCTCTGGGCCTTGGTCTCCTAAGTCTTATGGCCTAAGACAATCCACTTACTTCGACCTAGGCAACCGGGTAGTATTTCGCCTACTGACGAACCATGTAACTGAATTTAGCTACACTCGCTCCCTCTGCTAATGGATTGCTCTACCGCTACTGCTACTATTATTTCTCAATCATACGCCACCTACCTATCTACAATTCCTATGGGTCATCCTACCCCGCTTTCGTCTAACCCCTCGTCGATGGACATCACCGCGTCCTCTGATGAAACTATCGCTATACCAACCACACACCTCCAAAGCGTAATAATACAATCCCATGTTCTCCTCTCTCCGCTTCTTCAACTCAAAACGCTTCACTTTGGGAGAGCTCAATGTGTGTACCCTAACGCAGATTGGACCACAAGCCGATCTCGCACGCACCCTGGAATCTCTTGCAATACATGTATCTTGCTTATCTGAAACCCGACTTCAAGACCCCAACACAGTCTGCCAACTGTCATACACCTTATTTTCTTTTTCGCCTTTCTGGCGACATCGAGTCCACTGCAGCCGGGCAAGGTGGTGTTGGGCTTGCCCTTAGTTCCAGAGCAGAAACTACCCTTCTTGATTGGATTCCCATCAACACTCACCTCCCTATTCATAGGCTCGTCCAAAGTTAACAGCCATCGAGAAGACAAACGCACCTGTGCACCCATTGATTGTAGCCCGGAAACAATCAAATACCTATTCTATTAGAACTTCCATGACCTACTTCTAGCAGCCCCCAAAATGAACATCATTCTTATGACAGCGATTTCCACGCGCATGTTGGTCGTTTGCTGCCAAGCGAGCGCCATCTCGGAGGTCTGCATAGGTACGTTAACGTTCGCTTGGATAATTGAGAAAGGCTGCTCAGCCTGTGCTCTGACCACCAACTTTACTTATCCAACCTGAACTTCCACCACCCGAGACGCCACTACGCAAACTGGCGTGTTCCATCACCGCAAAATTGGTCGCATATTAACCACCTTGACATAAATCACCGGTGGCGTGACAGTGTTCCAGACTGCAAGTCTTATTGGTCAACTTTTATCAAATCTGGTACTTGCGACGATACGCATGAGCTTCGGTGGTCCGCGTAAAATCACAACAACTCGTCCGAACATTGGTAAATTTGAAAACCCCCGCTACTCAAGGGGACTATCAACGGATGCTCTGTGATAATCTCACTTTCCCCCCTCCTCTTGACGTTGAGCGACATTTTCTTTTACAACAGGTCATGTTTTCTGCAAGTCTGTTTACCTTTTTTCTTGTTCGTTCAACAGTTAAAATTTGGATCACGTCGACATCCTCGGAATTACTTCATCGTTGGCGGTCCATTCCCGTCACTGTGGGGCACACTGAACTCAGACGAACCATTTCTCAACAATTAAAAGCAAGTGTTCGCCGCGGTCGTGTATCCTGGTGGTCCAATCGAGCCAAGGAAATGGAAGCCGCTGCCGCTTCTGGAAACACCCGCAGATTACTTTACCCCATCAGATCCACCGGATGCAAATCACGCGCCATTATTGAGACAATCTGCGCATCAGACAGTACGAGGATCACTGATCTACGCAAACGTCTAAATCGCTGGGCAGAGCACTTTACTCTTCAATTTAATTATTCCACTCGACCACCGGTGACATCCCCTTTAGCTATCCTATGTTTCACGGCCCGTGTGCACCGATTCTCCCATCGAGGCTGATTCAGCAAGAAATCCTGACTCGGAATCGATTCAAAGCAGGCCCTATTTAAAGATCGAAGAAATACAGTTATTAGAGAACTGCTCTCGCTTTTCACGAAGTGTGGGTTTCCAACCCTCAACTCGGATCTGTCGTAGTTCCGCTGTGCGAGAAAGGCTCCGGCAGCGATTGCACCAACTACCGAGAAATATCACTCATATCAGTCGCGTCCAAAGTTTGTGTGTCCACATCGCTCCACAGGCTTTCAACTAGTCGAGAGAGTTTGTCTCGCGAGGAACGAGACGGTTTTCGCAGTGGTCGAGTTTGCATCGACCAGATTTTTTTTTGGACATTCATGCAGACTTTAACACCATAGATAGAACATCTCTTTAGAACTGTCTGCTGAGAAGCGGCGTACCCGACAAATTTCTCACAATGCTGGAAGAACTCTATCGTCACACATCGGACAAAGCTAAAGCTTATTGAGAACTTTTTTCATCTTTCGCTGTTGCTAGCGGAGTACGCAAAGTTGCCCCATCTCATCATTTTTATTCAACTTGGCATCGGTGCTGTCCTCCACCGCACTCTGAAACGTGCCGGGAGCTGCGGTGTTGAGCTGCTCCTCGGGGACAATGTTTCGGTCCTGAATTGGGCTGATGACATCGCTTTGCTGGGAGACAACCCATAGGCCATCCCAAACGTTTTGAACCGCTTAGTGATCGGGGCATCTCATTATGGTTGCCCAACCAGGTGAACCCTGCTGGTGCTAACATTCACCTTTGCAGGTCATTGCCTAGAGTAGGTTCATCGCTTCATTTATTCCGGGTGTTGTATTACGGTGGGTGGCGGTGTTGGGGATGGAGTGTCTCAGCGAATCGCTAAATGCCGCCTGGCGTTCACTGATCTGAGACACTTGTGGCGGCTACGCGGCATCTGTCTAAGGCTCAAAAGCAGAGCGTACAATGCCGCTGTCCGTGCGGTCCCGATGTACGGCTGCGAGGCCTGGCCTGTTCATGCAGAAGGTCTTAAACGACTATAATCTTTCGACAAGCGCTGCTTGCGAACGATCGCTCTTGTGTGGTAGCAACACCATGTAAGAAACTCGGAAGTTGGAAGTCGAGTACTGGGAGCAAACAATCCCACTCTCCAAGGTATTATTCTCGAACACCGTTTACGTGGCCTTGGTCACCTTTTTGCGCATGCCAACCAATAGACTTCCTCGTTGAGCATTATTTGCAATTCTTGGGTGTGAGCGGAGAAAATGCCAAGGTGGACAGCCGATGACGTTGAAGTGTAACATCATCAATATCACCTCATGTTTGGCATCAGCAGGATCTCTCCGTCTTCCAACTAGGGGACCACGTGATGTGGACTCCATATGGCTAGGAGTTTCGGAAGCTATTGCTCTTATCCGAAATCAATGGCGTCAGTGCTTTTTTAACATTTTCTTTTCATCCAAATCTTAAACAAATGGTACTCAAAACGGCTTGTGCGAAATAATAAAAAGAAAAAATAGCCATTTTCCTTTGCTTTTTTTACTATCATTTTTTCATACCATTACAGCCATGGTTCTGATGGCACATTTGTTTGTTCTCAGACTTGTGAATAAATATATTTCGCTACTACTTCCCAATATACCTTACCAAAAATTTATATTTTGACACTTGCCGATTAGTTGCTTTGTTTCTTACATGAACTGTAACGCCACACTCGTTCTTTTTCCATCTCACTCATTTTCTGTTTTCTTCTTTTCACAGATCGTTTTGATCATCATTGCCCCTGGGTCGGGAATTGTGTTGGCCGGCGAAATTATCGATACTTCATTCTTTTTCTCTATTCATTGTCGATATACTGTGCTTACATTTTTGTCTTCGCTGTAACAAACCTTGTTCTGCGTAAGTACCTCAAGTACCATGTCAGTGATTTCCCTTCTTTTCTTTCTGGCATTCTGACAATTTTGGTATCAGTTTGTTTGTTTATTCGATGACGTATGTTGAGACGGTGGTTAATTATTGCGCTGCTGTTTGTCCCATCGTTGGGGTTGTCGAACCACCTCGGTGAGTGTTCCTTGATTCTCTTGCATACGTGCCTCGTCGTACGTACAACCTATCTTTATCTCCAGGGGCAGGTAAATTGACAGATTACCATTGATTGCAGAACCTATTGGATCGTTTCGACATGACCCATCCCAATGTCATCTTTACAGTCGAAGAAGAAAATAACGACTAAATGCATTTCCCGGGCATTAGTCTGATCAGACGAAGCGATGGATCGATCCAAATCAAACTGTACATTAAACTTTATTATACTGGACAATACAACAACTTTCACAGCTTCAATCCACTCATTCGCACCTTTACTGACTGTGTAGACAAAATGTGCTGTGAAGCTGTTGCTGAAGATGAACTGAAGCGAATCAATACAGTACATCTTGAGAATGATATCTGAAGCACCTCGCTAACACCCATATGAAACGAAACAGTCCAAATTTCTAACGCAAACGGTTTCGAAGAAATAGCTGTTTCTGACCCCCTTTCAGAGGAAACGACGCTACTGACGTCTGTACATGTAGACGATTGCAAACTGCAAGCGGACCTTTAGTGTGGCCCATCTGAATGTGGTATTTACGAAGAAACCACTACTTGTTCCTAGATTCAAACACCTGGTGCCTGTTCAACCGCAATCAATGCTTATCTACCGATGTACCTGTTTCTTGGGGTCAAGATACGTTAAACGTACGACCAGGCACCTCGGTAATGAATCAAGCAACACCACCCGAGCTGGTTCAACAACCACAGGCACGAGACATTTGACAGCGTACTTTTGTTATAGCTTCTAATCGCTGTTTGGGTGATCGGTTTTCTCACTCACCTATGTTTATTATGTTTTTGATTATTTTTATTGTATTATTATTATTATGATAATTTGAGTAATAACAACTGGGTCCGCCAGAATTCAGTGCTCGAAGCATGGTAGCATTGCTTAGCCGAAGTTTTCGCATTTACCAGAGTCGCTTTTTAGTAGGCGCTGTGCTTCATCCTTCCTTCATCTTATCTGGTAATATATATATATATATATATATATATATATATATATATGAGACGATATAATTCAAATTTACACAACTTGGCATTATCTAGCAGTTGAATTGGCGTCCTAAATCCCGCTACTCCGATAGTCTCATGAAATGATGGGCTTCCAACTCCCTTCTCACGGTTCTTGTTTTCTGGATTCTCTCTGAGCTACGTGCTGACAGCTAAGCGTGATAAACCTCATTCTACCGCGTCTCAAACCACCTTTATTATTTCACATTTATTTAACTCTCCTGTACTTAACAACCCCACTCTTCTCGAGTCTCCTAATGCACATTACAAAGGTAGATACTTCTGGCCTCATCAATGAGCTGTTCAAAACCGATCGCACACATTCCAATACCAACGGCAAGGTTTTTATCGTTTCCCGCTCGCTCTTTAAGCTAGCTGCGTTCAATGCTCGAACGCTCATGTTGATTGGTTCACAAGCTGCTCTTGCGCGAATCTTGGAAACCCTCTCAATCGACGTTCGCTGCCTAACCGAAACCCGTTTACAAGACTCCAGCACAACGCTGCGATTGCTCTCACCCTCCCCAAGTTCCACTTGCACATTCATCTTACGCTTATCTGGAAATGCGACCAGCGACAGTCTATGGCTGCGCCGGCGTAGGAGTTGCATTAAGCGCGTGTTGAGGCAGCGCTCATTTACTGGTTCCCCGTAAACAGCCGTCTCTGTGCAGTCCGCGTGAAAAGCTCAGTACGATCTTCCTGCCACGGGACCAGTAGGCGCCGCTTATTCATTTTATCGGCTTACGGACATTAGCCCGGAGGTAGTTAGATATGAGTTCTAATGTCAACTCTCCAGCTTCCTCCACAAGAAACGCCGCATAGACATCGGGGTACTCGCCGGAGACCTAATTGCGCAGGTTGGTAGACTAAAATTTCATGAACGCGAACTTGGGGTTTAACACAGCCACAGTACTCGCATGACGTACAGCGGCGATCGACTCCTCCACCTTTGCGCCGACCACGGCTTGTTCTTTACGAGCACCAATTTCCGACGTTTTTGACGCCAACGAGCCACTCCGGCGCCTCGTCAAGGGTAAACGCAAATTGATCACATCGCTATTAGTTGCCGTTGGCGAGGATGCACAACGGACTGCAAGTTAATTTGGAACACTTACTTAGGATCATTCGCTCGCGTGTGCTAAGGTCGTATTGCGCTTTGGAGGCACCCAACATCGTCGCCGGCAACGACTTGACAGACAAGCTCTCCACCCATATGTTCTGGGCACATTTCGAAATACATTAGACTCTAACCTGCCTCCTCTATTTTCCGACGTGGAGACACACGGCACAGATTCAGAGCGTCTATCTTGATCTGTGTTTTCACTAGACGAATTGCTAGCCATTGGATCTCCGCACATTGTCTACAATTAATTGAAATCCGTCAAGCATTTCCATCCGGAGTTGACTAAAATGCACTGCGCAGAACCGCATGTGCTGAGATCTGACAACTTCTCAAGAAGGATAACGAAATGGAGCAGGTAGCCACTTCAGTAAACTTCCGCAAAATCTTCCAACTGATTCGGTCCACATGAGGCAGAAGACCAACATCTCGTAAGGTTTTGCGTGAAAATGACGGTGAACTAATCCACAGTCGTCGCCGTCGGCTGGTGCGCTGGGCAGAGCATTTTGCATATCAATTTGACTGGCCACCAGTACAACCGAGTCTATCTTTCGGGAATCACAGTGCACCCTGGTGCGTGGATGTTTCTTCACCGACTGAGGCTGAGGTTTTCCATGGGCTCCGCCTGCTAAAGCGCCACATGTCACCTGACCCAGATGAATTTCCTTCTGCCCTCTTCAAATATGGGGTCCTGCTCTAACCCCTGAACCGACATCCATCTTTCCTCAGATTTTGACTACAGAAACTGGAAATTAGCGGGTGTTGATCCCGTTTACAATAAAGGAGACCGAACCGTTTGCTCCAATCATCGCGGAATCAGTCTTATTTGTGTTGCTTTTAAACTGCTCGCTGCCCTACTTTTGCTTAGGCTCAATTGCGTACGGGAACAGTACCTTTGTGAAGAGGTAGCTGGGTTTCGCCCGAGTACAGTTGCGTCGATCACTTCGTTACGATCCGCCAGTTACTTGAACACCGCTTTAACTTCAGTCGACCAACCATAGTCATGTTCTTGGACATTCGAGCGGCGTTTGACTCTGTTGACAGAGTGGCTCTATGGGACTTAGTACTAAAGTGGGGAGTACCTGAAAAGTACATCAGCACTCTCCGTGTCACTTACCGTCAATATTAGGGCCGCATGCGAGTATATGGAGACTTTTCGCCCTCATTTATTATCACTAGTGGTGTTAGACAGGGTTGCCCAGCCTCTCCATCCTTGTTCAACCTCACCATATACCCGATCCTGGATACTGTCCTGGAAAACTCTGTTTTGCGGCGTCGAACTGCTTCCGGGTGACCGTCTTCGGGACTTGGAGTACGCAGATGACGTCGCCCAGGCCGCCCAGCGTGTGCTGCTTGGACTAGAGATGTCTGCCTCCCGAATTAGGTTGACCTTTGCCCCTTCTAAGTGTAAAGTCCTGTTACGTGACTGGTCAAGTGCACCTCTCACTTTTTGGGGCATCCGCTGGAAGTGGTCCACAAATCCATTTACCTTGTGAGATGTTTCAGTTTCGGTGGTTTGACGATGTGGTCTCCTTGCGTAAGTAGCTTTTACTGACCTCCGTCAGCTTTGTCTACATTGTGACCTTAGACTCACTCTCAACGAACGAGTCTATAATGCTGCGCTACTTGCGATTCTACTGTACTGCTACGAGACTTGGGCTGTTCGCAAAAGTGATGTTCAGCGGCCATCTGTCTTCGATCACTGCTAACTGCGAAGCGTTGCTGGTGCTCGATGGAAACATCATATCAGTAATAAGGTTTGTCGGCGTGTCTTCAAATCTGACAAACTTCGCCGACCGATTGACTGCGTCATTTCACTGCGGAGGCTTCGCTGACTTGGGTCTGTGCTTCGTGCGCCCACTGAGTGGCTACCATGACGTGCCCTATTTGCGAACGCAGGCGTGAGATGGTAGTGATTTCAAGGAGGACAGTGTGAAACCGGCATCCGATGCGATAAGGCGCAAACGTCGAAGCTGGCTGTTGTTGGGCGATCCCGACACTCGGGTTGCAGACCAAGCGATCCCGAACACATCTGGTTGCAAATGCTACTGGATATGGCGAAGTATCGTACGCAATGGCGCACTCGCTGTGAGCCTTTACTTCTCTAACTATCGTTTACTTTTCCAACCTGTTACTTTTTCTCTTATGTGTTGTGGCACTCAGCCAAAGATAATGTGATTGTCAGTGTTGTATTTTGTGGCAAATCTTTTCAGCTGTCGGGTAGTTTAAAAAAAAATTAATCACTTTGCGGATGAGGGAAAAAGTGCAGATTCAAAAACTGCGGTCGTGTGTTTGCGTATGATTCGGACCGTAGTTGTCATGGAGAAACTCATTATAGAGAACTCGGATTATTGGCCTTTCATTGTGAGCACCTTGGATGTAAATTATCTTCCCAAACTCGCAGAAAAATGTTTGAACATTCAGAGACTCACAAAAAGCATTTAGTATTTGTGTGTAATCATCCTGGTTGTGGCAAACGTGTCGCACATCATGGGTTTTTCGACAACCACGAAGTCCCATGCACCCGACCGTCCACACTATCCCTGTTCTCATTGTGGCTGCGGAAAAGTCTTCCTCACGCAACGTTGATTATTCGATCACGAACAAACCCAATCTTCTGAAACGGTACCCTATCGTTTCACAGGCTCTGGCTGCGGGAAGGTTTTCAAGTTTA